TTTCTTTTGTCTTCCCTGGAACCCTTCTTTACTCTTCTGTTCAGCGTATTGTGGTCTGCATTCAACTCTTGTTTTTGTTGCTCGTCGGTGCACTGGATAATCTTTTGTTTCACTGTCCTTCTCTCTTCTCTTAGTTTCCAAGTGTCCGCAGTGAGCCACTGCTTGTCCTGTCTCTTCTTTCTGCCTAGAACTTCCATGCAGGTTTGACTCCACACCGTTTTCAAGTTGTCCCAGCGCTTTTCGACGCCGACCTCTTCGTTAGCGTTGATTTGTGTCTCGGCTTTTTGCCTTGTGTTTGCAATGAAGATGTGCTTTGTAGCCTGATCCTTCAGTTTTATGAGTGTTGAAGCTGGCTTGTGGCCTAACTGCAGCTCTTGTTTCCCTGAAAGCTTTCAGTTGGATTTGGATTATCCCTTGTACGAGATAGTGGTCTGAGCCAACGTCTGCTCCTCTTCTTACTTTTGTGTCCAGTAGGCTGTGCCTCCACTTCCTTGAGCAACATTGAGATGAAGTTATTTGGTTTTTGGTTTGCCCATCTGGTGACACCCATGTAGCCTTGTGAATATCTTTGTGCTTGTATACACTGCCACCAGTCACTAGTTCGTTGAAGGCTCAGAAGTCGGCGAAGAGTTTGTAGTGCACATTGTACCCTTGAACTTTTGTTTATACTCGCTCACCCATGTTTGGCACACCTTTTTCTTTTGAGTTGTGACTCTTCCGTACGTCCATTGGTTCGCTCGCTCGTTGTGCTTTCATTCTGCACACTCTCCGAGCCCACCTCCAGTGACGTCAGCAGATAAGTTGTACAACCTCTTTATTTATTGAATTTCATATTTCGTTATGTAAAATATAATTGTCCCGGATACACTTGTCATACCAAGTCTTTTTACCTCGATTCAGTTCGTCAGTATTTGCACGTTGAGTATAGTACAGCTAAGGTCATAAAACGGTGGAGAAGTTTTGTAAGAGAGTTTAGAATCGAGGTCTACCCTAAGCCATAATAGCTCTTACAAGTTTGTCAACTCGTATATCTTACCTTTTCTCCTTTACTATTCAACCTTAATACTTCCCTGAATGCTTGATAAATACCGTGTCATACTTCGTGGAATTCTGAAGACTGTCGATAGGGCGAGTGGTCTCCTTTCGGTTCATATCGATGAAATCGTCATTGACGACGAGGACTTGATCGCGGCAGACTGTGGGCATCCGCTCTACTTGCCCCCAGCATTGACCTTGCGTTTCCTCAGGTAAAACAAGAAGTATGTTTGCATGTCTTAGCACAAAACATCCACGATACCAAACTTGGCACGCGTTTGATAGGACGGAAATAGTATCAGGGACAAACTAAGTAACCTCAATTGCACCAGTGAATAAACCATTCTCCCCATCCTCATCCCATCGACCTTTACTGTTATTACTCCTATACTTATGATCTTCTCTCGAACATTTTCGTCCTAATACCCTAACCATGGACAAATTCCTGCGGCTAATTTATATTTTAAGTAATTCATGGGCAACGCTGTGACAAATGCTGGGAATTCCATTTTGTATTATAGGTACTATTTTTTGAATTTAAGTAAATTATTATTATACTTTAATGACGACACTTTATCCTCTTTGACCTGTACTTACTGCATTAATCATGACAGTACGGTGAGTCAGCCAACTCTCAGTAACTGTCTATGTCTAGGTCTTACTACGCTGGACCTCACGCTGTCCTTGGAAGACTTTCAGAAACAATTTGTAATAACCAACGCGATAAACCAGAACACAGATTGGTGACTCGAGAATCCCTTATTCTTACGCCAATATGTAATCAACAATAAGGTTATTACACACAAGGTCTAAGAATAAATGTCTTAACAATAAATCACGATAATACTTCTGATAGCTTTCTCTCTTCCACTGAACAGCGAACGATGACTGTTGGATTGATGACACTGCGAAAAATATGGAGGGGTTGGGTGTGAGCAAACAACCACGAATTGATCGTTCAATCTTCAACTACATTGACACCGTGTTTCAACGAACTCATCACGCCTCATATCAGCCCTGAGTGCATATCACATGCAGGTATAATTCCTCTAAGCTAAGTGTGCAAATCAGAGTAAATGCTTGCACCGTATATTCGTTATCTGTAAGACTAACTAGTATGTAAGAACTAAGATTTGACCAGTTATACAACGTTTAATACGCTTTGAAACAATCAACGTACGCTGCTTACTTCTATGTCGCATTACCTAAGAACACGTAGCTACCTTAAAATGTTTTCCGCTGAAAGTAATCTCCTATAGCAACTACTTTAGCGGGTAACTTAACGTAATCTTTGAATAACAAAGTAAAAGTGGGAATCCTGAAAACTTTCTTGGTGAAAAGATCGTCTCTTAGTCGAAAAAAGTAAATATACCGTAATCTTCATGAGAGCGTTTAGAGGCATTTATCTTATTACCTCAAATGACTCACTATTTGCAGTCACTTCAGCAGTAAAAATATATCTACCGAAGACAGTCCTCATGACTTCTTGATATCATAACCTATTATAAGGAAAAAGATAAATCCATAGGGCTATAGCAGTGAGACGCGTGATATTAATCCGAAATTCGCAGATCTTTGAATTCACTCCTCCCTTAAATATCCTTTACCTACCTCTTAATAACCTTTGTATTTGCGCACTATTATACTCTATCTGGTCTTAACTACCTAGGCCTTTATTAGGGCAGAACTTACTCTTTTGTTCATATTCGTTGCTTGCTGAAAGTCTTGTTGCTTTGGTGAAAATGCACAACAACAGCAACGCCAATATTTGAACAAAGCTATATTTTCATTGAAAATATCGTCGTTTCTATGGCAAAACCAATATGGTTAGCATTATACATTGCGAATGCGTACTATCATTCTAAGGACTCCATATCTCCCTTCCGTATATATTTTGTAAATGTACTTTAAACGATGTATTATCCAAAATTGTATTTCATACCATTCCGCAGCTGCGCAGAATTTTCTTCTCTTCTTGAAATTGCGTTCAACCACGTGGCGGCATAGCACTCAACCAGATACTCGCTATTCACTGGTTGGCAATAACTATCAGCATGAAACGGAACGAAGTTTGGGTTGTCGCTCAACTTCCATGGTGGCCTTAGTAAACGCTTTACAACATAGCCTTTATAAGCACCTGTTCTGATTGCATGTACAATAATTGGACAATTTAAACTTTTGAAAAAGTAATAATTTATGATGCTTTAGGATTGTGATTTATAATATTGCTGATCGTGCCTGTAAAAATGGCATGCACTTCTTGTAAACACCATTTTATACGAAATATAAACTATTCTTATTATTTGCTCTGGGCTTCAAATCAGTTGGGACATTATATCAATAGCAGACAGTGTGCTGGATTTAACACGTCTGGTTAAATCACGCCCAATCTTCTGTAGGCAGGTTGATCACTAACTGACAAGGGTGCTTCATCATTATGATTCTTTCTTTTAATGTACGCCGGAGCACAAATATTTAAGATATACTACTAATGTTGTTTTAGTTACCATTTCAAGTGACAGACATAAGTTGAGAACGTGTGAATGGATATAGAAAAGGATGTATTCATCGGTTAAGGACTAAAACTGTTGATGAATTTCCGAAAGATTTATACAAAATGCGATTAGGCGCATTTAGTTTCCCCCACTATCCTGCAGATGCTTGGGAATGATTTCGCAGTAGCACTCCATCCAGTGAGCAGGTTTTAAGACTCTGCTTTCCGAGTTTGTAACTTTTCAGAGTTTAGTGTGCATGCAGAAATTACCACTGTCGAAAGATGACCCCCAGAAGTTTTTCCTTTGGGTAAACTGAGGTCCTCTATACATCCACTTGAATATTTTGAAGCAGAAATATATCTCCGAAATAAACCACATAATGAACGGCTAAAGAAATTAGGCATATTTGCACTTAGCTACAGTCGGCTTAGGGGGAGTTTGATTACTGCCTACAAGATAACAAATTACCAGAATAACTCAAACAAAGTTGTTCTGCCATTGAGTAGGTATGGGCTTCCTCGTGGAAATCCCAGAAGGATAGCTCACCAGAGGGCAAGGACCATGTTGCGCTCCCACTTCTTTTCATTGCGAGTTTACCGTCCCTGGAATTCCGTACCGGTAGGTGTAGCTATGTCACGTTCTGTGGACACCTCAATGTGAAGTCTGGACTATCATGCGGCGACAGAATTACTGCTTCCAAATGGCCTCTGCGCTTAAAATCCCATACACCATTCTTGAGTAGAGAACAATTTTAGTCGTTTTATTTCCTTACATTGTCTCCAGGCTTACTGTCCTGGCAACTCTAACTAGCTTTATTATTATTGCTGATATATATATATATCAGCTGTCTACGTTTTCTTTATTTTTTTTCTGTGTTAATCTGAATAACTTCACTAATTATATATATTATAATTATTATCTCTTCTTTTGACCACGATACCGAAGGACTAACTGATGAAAGGATCAACTCCATCCGCTGTGGTGACAGTCTCCACACACTATCATACTACAAATCACATGTAATTAATCCGAGCACTACTTCTTTTGGTGTCAACCAAAGCTACGACAATCGAGTGGTGGGACGAGCTACGCTAAAGTTTACCAAAGATCAAGAACCTATACCTCACAATCAAGAGGCAAGAACAAAGAAATCAAACTGATTTTTACTAGCTCGTAAAAATGATACTGGATATTGGATTTACTCTTCCATTTGATGGTGTCTAGTGTGTCACTAATCTAATGAGTTGACTAAAAGTGTCCATGAAATGAATTTTGGGCGTAATCAATTAGTAGAATTTGGATACCTTAGTGAGATGTTGGATACCGTCATCCCCTGTTTGTAAATATGTTTGCAGGTTGTGAGCTGCTCGAGTGACCTTGTTCGCTCAAACTTAGATCCTGTCCTTCTGTTTTGTTGCGGATTTTCGAAACAACGGTTATCGTTGCCATACTGGTTGTTTACGTTGAACGATGCTTTGTATTGTAAAAAAGCGAATTAAAAAGAAATATGAAAACCTGATTGAAACCTGCAAGCTTAAAACAAATGAGGTGCTGATTGGTTTCCAAAATATAATATAGCAGTTTTCATGTTTTCTTAGAGATCTGATAGAGCTTTTTGGTCGTTATATAGTAAACTCTACTCAGAAATCAAAGGGCGACTTCAGGAGAAACCTGGAACGCATTGTCCTAGTTTCGGATATGGTTGATGATGAACTGACTAACCTTTTTTCAAGATGTCAGTCTGTTTTAGGCAACCGCATTAGAATGTTGACACCAGCACCTTTAACTGTAAGTTATGCGACTTCCACCACAGTATTCATAACGTTTCCTATTTTTTAGATAACCGTAAGACTTTAGAACTTATGTAGTGTGTTTAGACTCGCAATTCCTTGTGCCATCAGGTATTTTCAGGCGTATTCCTTCAAGGAAATTCTCGCGTTGATATTATCTGTCACCTGCAGTGCTCCTAATCTCTCTTAGGATTGTTATCCATGACCTATGCTCAGTTGGAGGTGCTTATGGAATTTTCCCATAGTTTCTTGGGCAATTCTCACTTCTTTTTTGTAACTTTCACGAGAAGACTAATCGCTGGTTGAAGAAAATTATTTTTATATCCTTTAATTCCTAGAGGAACATAGGGCTTCAGCTGCGCGTCTCCATTGCGTTCGGTTTTCTGCCAACTTTTTTACCCCGCTCCAAGTCTGTCCACATGCTTTCATCTCCTCTTCACATGACCTCCTCCAAGTCACCCTTGGACGACCAACTCGCCAATACTGGGAGAGATCGCCTCCCATTGCATCAGGGCCTTTTTTGCCGTTGGTGACATCATGATAGCCGCGCCTTCGGTTTGCGTCTGGTTATCTTCTGGGTGACCGGAGTAGATCACTGACTCACCGGTTGACAACTTTGTGAGTCCATTCCCGTTCCATCTACTTCCACATATCCCCAGTACTTGAATTCCGTATCGTTTCATTTCATTTGCGATCTGGGCAGCTTTGCCGATCTCGTACATAGTGTGGACATTCCATGTCCCCACACAGACTTTTTCTTTTGTCGCAAGGAGACTCATCGTGCTGAAGAAAAGATGCGGTTTTATCATACGCGAGATGCAGACAGATGTATTTAATTAAGAGTGATAATTCTTAAGATAGGTGGTCACTTCAAAAATATGACTGACACATGAAAATGTTTTCGAAAGAAACTTGTAGTCGTAGATATGTTTATAAAAATCTCTAATCATACGTCATAGTTGCAGCCAATCTCTTCTACGGAAAATAAAGGAACATAAATAGTGGCTTCCGTTAGTGTGAAATGAGACTGGTGGCGTTTCCAATGCCTACCATTGGTGTTTCTTGCTTTTTTCGGTAGTCGCATTCTCACATCAGAAGCATATCTTATCACCTGCATTGAAGTTGAGGCGTACTAGGAAAGTTGCAAAACAGAACTTTGATGAATAGTGCTTTGGGATGATTTGGAGACCGTGAGTCTGTCTTTATATCAAGCGCCAGAAAAAGAGAAAACATACGTTGCACTGATATCGGCTTCTGAATGTACAGGTATTGACTGGTACATAATAATATTTACTCAATACAGTGTAGATGAAATGCTAGTTTACAGACACCTATGTTGTAGAACGTAGAATAACTCGAATCGAATATTCGTAGTTAACAGACGCTGGTCTTTTTTGATATGCCCTCAAAGTTTACAGATACAATGATGACGAAAATGTATAAATGATAACGACTTACCTACAAGTTCACATATAAGGTGGTTTTGATGTAATAGGACTCATTAGGAATGTCTATAAAGGTGAACGTCATGAGAAATTAAGTTGCCGGTTAAGTAATATATAGGAATTTGCTTTGCTGAAACATGAAACTTTTATCACTAACTTCCTAAAATACGATAAAATGCTTTAAAGTAAAGAATGCTATTGACAGCCATATATATTTATGAGGAGTGCACATCGTGTTGCTATTATCTTGTTTCCGTTTGCGAATCATCAGATCTTGGAGACATGTTCGTCAAGTCTCCTAAACTTCTCTTATGTTTGTTTTTAATGGTTTTAGTAAGATTAACATTTATCTTATTGTGCCTTTCATTTTGGAGCTGTTTATATGTGGTACCTTGCTTCGGATATCCCTGCTTACCTTAACGCATCATGCAATTCGCAAAAAGTTGTTTAGTGTAATAAACAGATGTGCTATATAATTGCAGATTATGTTTGTTTAAGACCACAGGTTATTCTGAAGTCAACTCTTTACTTATGGAAGCTTCTGCTAAGAAACGTTTGCGTCAGCCGGTTGACGAAGAATACATAACATATCATTTGGCTAACTCGACTCGGCTTCTCTGCATGTTAGAAACAAATATTGGACTGCAAGGCGTTGGTGGTTTATCGGAAATGTCTAAATTGCAAGAAATATGTACGTGAGTAATATTTTAGTACGTTTCTCCTTGAGTTTCTTATTTTTCTATATCCTGTTGGTTCATCACGTTGTGTAGATGAATGACAGTTTTCATTGTCGTATCACTACTAGGATTTCATAGATAAGATTGTTGCATCTAGTAATCAAGAGATTGTCCAACGAAGGTTAGTGTAAACTTCACGTTCCTGAATAATTAGGAGTTTCAAGGACATGTCACTTACTTGCAAGTACATAAGTGCACAGTGTAAAAGTTAGTAGTCATGTGCTGGATGATACTGACATCGATTGTTTTTATCACATAAGTAGATAGATTAAGGATCAACCAACCTTTATTGTCTGTTTCTTTTGTCTGTTTACTTATCATAATTACTGTATCTGCAGCATAGCCGCTACCAGCTGCTTATAAGCGCATATAGTTCTTGATTAACTCAAAAGAAGATAAAGTGTTAACCTGTCTGTACCATTAATACCAATTTTAACCTACATCGCCTAAAGCCTGCAGTTTTACATTTCGGTGGTTATGCGAACCCTGGTTAGGCGATTTGCACTTTTTTCTGGACAGCCTAAACAATAAATTCATCGATTAGTATCTGGTTTTGATCTAAACATTTGTCTGTCTTTTTCTTCTAGTCTAATCATACTCGCAATAATATATAGTACATTAAATTAGATAATCAGTAGTCATGCGTAAGATATGTCCCAGGCACCCTAGGTAGTTGAAATGTATAATTTTCTGGGATGATTAAAAATTTACATCAAGCTCGTAAATGGTTTGCGACAATGGTAGTTGTATCAAGCGCGTGGAGCATAAGAGAATCAACGATGTTTAAGTACTTGTTCTCCATATTCCTTCTATGTGCATTAACTGTGTTTCACAGTCATACAGGGGTGCGTATAACCTATTTGTATGTAGTGTATTTAACACTCACAAGACAATAATGCTATTTGTATGGTGTGAGCTTACTTAGGTATCTCCAACAAATTGGTCAATCCTGGTGAAGTAATATGTAAAAAACTTAGATGGACATTATTTTCTTGTCTTTTGTGTACTTTCACATGGGTGTTTTCGAAGTAAGGTAACTTAAACTGTTGGATATTTGTGTAAAGTACTGCACTGCTTTAGTTACTCAGTAAGATCGCCTTAGACAATGATGGAGTATTCGAGTAAACTTCATTCACTACGGAGGTAAATATATGTAGCAGGTATCCTTCCAGGTGATAAAACTTTACTATAAAACTTATCCATCGATAGACAGAGTTAATCATATAGATACCTTCTGATCACTCACAACTCAGTGAGTTGATGACAAAAGTTTCCACTTTCGTTGGTCATTGTCCAACTTAATTTCAGTACATTTAAAGATTGAGCTAATCAAGTTGAAATTTATGTTGTAGGTCGTTACTCACTCCTTAATGTTAACTAAATAAAGGTACAATGATAATTTTGGAAGATGTTTCACATAATAATCGGGTATTGATATTGTCCATCTGAGAGGCGATTTTGCTAAATTTATTAAAATATCCTGGTTTTCTAGTGTGTTCCACTGTTGTGTTCGAAATATCATTAAAAAATAGTATTGTTTTGTTGTGTGATATGTCCAAAAACAAAACACGTAGTTCAGCGAAAAGTCTCTTTTCGGCGAATTCATTTTTTCTTAGCTGTAAAATTGCAAATATATGTGTTATTTTGTATGGATGTGTACATTAAGTTTGTCAAACAAAATTACAATTGGTTATGGTTATTTTAACTAAACAGGTGCAGATTGGTAATTGGAGTTACATAATACGAAATCGGTCAAGGAAATTGGTTGTTAATGAATCTTTTGCAATTAATAGTATTCTCTGAGCTGGTTATTTTAGTTGTTAATGAAACTGGTGTAGTAATGAAGGTGATGAGTTGTCACAAACAGTCATTAAAAGGAAGTTAAGTAATAATATGAACAATTTGATGATTGAGTTGTACTCAGGTTTCACATAGGAACAAAGTAGAGCATGTGAAATTAAGTAAGAGTTCTAAATGAATGGAAGAATTATAAGCAATTAAAGAAAGAGGCAGAAAAAAATAAAACAAAATTAAGTCATTAAAAATAAATCACCATACTCTTCATATTATTATTTAACTCCCTTTTAACAACTGTGACAACTCATCACCTTCGTTACTACACCATTTTCATTAACACCCAATTTCCCTGACCGATTTCGTATTACGTAACTCCAATTACCAATCTTCACCTGTTTGGGTTAAAATAACCATAACCAATTGTAATTTTGTTTGACAAACTTAATGTGCATATCCATACAAAATAACACATATATTTGCGATTTTACAGCTAAGAAAAAATGAATTCGCCGTAAAGAGACTTTTCGCTGAACTAGGTGTTTTGTTTTCATTAATGCCTGGATGGGGAGATTATCCATGAATGTATCCAAAAAACGAATTAATTAATTAATTAATATGGAAGACACGTTTGCATTTGGGACTTTTGAGACTCAATGTGAAACTATCTTATATTTTCGAGTAGTCAGCCTGTTGATTTTCTTAGGAGGCCTTCACTTCACCCGATATGTTTTATGGTTAATTAACACGATACTGAGTGCATCGGTGGCTCAGGGGTAGAATGCTTGCCAACTACGCATGTGGTCCGGGGTTTGATCCCAGGCCGGCGCACTCCAAAACCTCACTGAGCCTGTAGTAAGTCAGGTTGAGAAGGAAGGTTGGGCGTACGGCTAGCAATCTCACTCCGTAAAAAACCTTAAAAATAAAAAAAACCTGCTGCTACTGAGACTCCAGAGCTCTAGCTTGAAACTCTCTATTCCACTCAGAACGTAAAGAAATAAAAAAAATAAACAGGATATTAAAGTGTGTAATATTAAGTGTATAAAAATCCTAAGAAACTTGTGAGATAAATTTGCCTTGATTTTGACATGTTATTGTTCCAAAGTACTCATTAGTTTGAAAGTTATTCATAGGCTAGTAAGTGCTGAGTATGTTTTGTTTGTGTATTCCCAGTAACATTCTTCACCAGTCACACTGCTTTTCAATGAACATTTTCTCACTCTAGAGTATTTAGCATTCTGCTAGCCTATTTAGATTTATATAATTATTTTAAACATTAGGACATTAATAATAATAATTTATTTTAATTTTTTTAAATTTAATTTTTGATTACAGCTTGATTCCACACTGTATTTTTGGTACAAGTATGGAATTTTCAGCATGGATATCGGTAGCCCAAATTTTGCAGGCCGACCATAGATATCAGGTGTGCGCCGACGTGGGCTCGAACCTCGGACCATGTGCATGGTTGGCGAGAGTCCTAACCACTGTGCCACCGACGCACAATATCGATGTTTGATTACAAGAATATTCACACTACATCATTCTAAAAGGCTCCTACTCCGAAAATTCACCCTTGAGTCAGCCGTCAGTATTTAAAAAGGTCGGTGTACTACAAACATATGGTCACCTGTCGCCTCCACTTGAAACATAGATTCCTTCACGTTCCCAGTGGAACATAGGGCTTCAAGCTATTGGTTTGAAGTTTCTGTAGCAGTGTATATTTTTACAGGATGGGGTTGCTAGCCTCATACCCAACCTTTTCCCTTTACCAGCATTATTTCTGGCTTAGGGAGGTAAAGGAGTGCGTCGGCCGGGGATCGAACCCCGGACCATATGCATGATCGGCGAGCGTCCTAACCTCTATGCCACCGACGCTGAGGACATTAATACATTTATGTTAATGTATATGGACAGGCTGATGACATTTCTGAGACTGTTAACCATCCACTTGCTTTTCATACGTGTATCGTAAAAAAATACGTCGCTTACTCATGGAGTAAAATCCTAGTTCTTTTGCCAACTAGGAATTACTATTTTAATTGTCAGCAGCTGTAGATTTCGATAAAAATAAGTATAGTGTAGAGTTACCGCAGCTGGCATTCCACAGCAAAATCATGTTTTGATTGACAATTTTTGTAATGGCCAGATGTTCACGCCAGGATTACGTACTGGTATCACCACTACTGAATATGGGCAGTTGTGTGGAAAGGAGGTGATCAAACACAGAAATGCCTCAGTTGATTGAATAGGTTGTGTTTGCCTTCGCCGTAAATAAAAGGCTAGATTAATAGTACAGCAGTGCTAAAAATGATTCAGATTACTTTGTCTACTTCATGAAGTTAAATTCATTAACGTGCAAAGCTAATCGAAGTATTGGCTTTCTAACCTCTTCATATAGATAGCAACTGCAATTGTCACTTAAGCTGCAGTGATTTACCTTATCAGTGTATTTTAGAAGACATGGTTGTTCTTCTTTTGAATGATTGTAATTTTCTTTTTCTGTAAAGCACTAATACTGCATTGTATGTGCAAAATTTTTGTTTAATGATGAATCATCAATGGAATATTGCATAGTAGTCAATGTAAATAAGAGTGCGGCGACATTTCGGTCCATTGTAACCCTCTTTTCTGTACTGTCTGTCTGTCTGGATTCAACATAGAACTTGGCACTGAAGTGCAGCACTTCGAGTTGGCACATTCCAAATAGCACACAAAGGTAGGCAAGAAGATGAGTGAAGAGAATCTTTTATGTACTAGCTATCTTTGATCATAGGTGCCTGCTTTTTATCTCCTGTGTGAAGTGATATAATAAGGTGAGCAATATTAAGGTTGGGCATCGGTCGAGTGCTAGGTAAGGAGGGGAAATCAATCGACGTGGTTGTGAAGTTATATCGATTGAGATGGTTAGGACATGCGTCACGTATGCCTCGTCATCGCCCTCCTCGACAGGCAGTGTTGGCTGACATAGCATCTATCAGGTATGAAAAAACTATTGGTGGTCAAACCAAAACTTAGAGTCAGTCAATGAAATTCATAACAGTTAGTTTACGCCAGTCACGTAGGAAGATGTAGACTTCCTGGTTGGTAGGGGTACTTGTGATGGTAAAAACCAATGAAGGCTGGAGACAATTGATGATATGGCTCAAACTCATCTTTGTCAATTACTGATATAAGTATAAAACTTGGGCACTCTGGTAGAGTATAACTCCATTATGGATAAGATTTTATTTTGTCAATGGTGCAGGTGCATTCACTCTATGTGATTTGTCATATACAATAAAACTACTGTTCCTCCATACTAGTATTCTTTTTCCCCCACACTCCTGTTTATTATCTCTCTTTACTGTCGTCTCTTGCTGTGTGTGCCACACTGAGTGTGGTAACTGGAACTGCTTCCCATCTGTGCATAGTTCTATGTTGAAAGCAGTCAGTCAATTGTGCTACTATAATTGCTGTAGTTTAGATGTGCATCATTTAAAGCTAGCTGTATTATTGACGTGGAAGACACGTAGTTTCATTGTTTTACTCCAGTTATAGCAAAGTGAACTGTCTGACAAAAATGCTTGCATCATATAGATTGTATCAAAGAGTTGGAGAGTTGACACATTTCATGATGGATAAGTTAACACCTGATCCAGTCGACCAGAACATTTTTGCGTAGAACCCTAAACTACTGATTGGATGAGATGAGTAGTTGCGTAACACTCATACCAACCGGTAATGCTTACTAGCTGGATTGAAATGATGTAACCACCGGAGGGCTGTTTTGTTCGAGCTCACCAGAGCGGTGTACCGCGTTTTGACACATCTCAGAGAGCCAAACTAGTTGAAACCACCCTACTTCTGCTTAGCTACTTGAGCGAATAACTGGTGACACACGGTACGAGGGGTGAAATTTTTCGACAACAGTATCCTCTGAGGGAGACTCAGCCTGCCATAAGCCCTGATGGTGTTCTCGTGACTTTTGTTGCCAGATCTGCCAAATGCGATGGGATAGTACGCGACCTAGTGGTTTTGTGCAAGGTTTGAAGAGGGCTGTGTGCTATATGCATGCGCCTCGCCCCGATTGTGTTTGTGCGTCGGTGGTATAGCGGTAGAATGCTTGCCAACCATGCATATGGTTTGGCGTTCGATCTTTGGCCGACGCACTCCACCTCTCTTAGCCAGTAATAAGACTGGTAAAGAGGGAAGGTTGGGTATGAGGCTGACTAGCAACCCCATCCCATAAAAATAAACACCACTGCCACTGAAACTTCAGAACTCTCGCCTGAAACCCTATGTTCCACCATTGGAAACGTAAAGGTATAAAAACGTCTCCTCCGAAAACCAAATTATTCCGACGACGACAGTATGTGATCTGCTTGGCACCATAAATCGTAGTCAAGATAGCGAGCATAAGGCTACTCTACTACTGACTGGCTGAGATGAGTAACTGCATACCACTGATACCAACCAGAGTAGTGCGTGCTAATTAGCAAGCTGGAGGCGATCTAGACACCGGAACGTCATATTCATGTCATGTTACTTGAATTTTATATATTTATCCAGTGAAGGAGTGAATATGACTAGCACAACTTGTAAACTTCTCTTCTCTTCTGCATTACTTGATTATTTGTGAGTGTAGTGTGCAGATTCAAGTCCATAACTGTTACTAGCTTACAAAAAAATGCAGTCTTCTGAACACCTTGAGCAGCAATCTTCGTATGTTTGGCATGCGATTCGCCCCTGCAAAATGTAAGATGCTGCTACAGGACTGGACTACGTCAACTCCTAGCTTAGTGATAGGGAGTGAAGTAATAAAAAATGTTGACCACTTCACCTATTTGGGAAGTTGTATTAGCACCAACGGACTGATTGGCGACGAAATCTCAGCACGGATCCAAAAAGCTCGAGTTGCTTTCGCTGACTTACACCATCTGTAGCGTAGGCGTGACATCCGGCTTTCAACCAAGGGACGTGTGTACTGCTCATCAGTTCGCTCCGTCCTTCTCTATGGCTCTGAAACATGGCCAATACGAGTTGAAGACATGAAAAGGTTGACTGCTTTCGATCATAGATGTCTGCGATCTCTGTCTCACGTTAGGTGGTTTAATAAGGTAAGTAATGTTGACGTTAGGCGTAGAGTGTTGGGCAAAGAGGGAAAATCAATCGACGAGGCTATAAAGTTACATAGATTGAAATGGCTAGGTCACGTGCTGCGCATGCCTAACCATCGCCTCCCCCGCCCAACGGGCATTACTAGCTGATATAGGTGCAGGTTGGAAAAGAGTAAGTGGTGGCCAAACAAAAACATGGCCTCATCAATCCATGAAATCCTCAACAGTTAAACTGAATCAGGTAGGGAGATGCAGACTTCCGGGTTGGGGCCCTCGGGACTCTAGGAATCAATGGCTGGAGACAATAAATGGTGACATGGCTCAAAATCGTTGTCAATGGCCAGCGCAGATGTATTCAGTCTCTGTAATCTTTCATATTCCTTTCTACCATTACCCATTCTGTTTCACTCTTATACTTGTCAAACTCTATTGATTCTCTTCACTCATTTTCTTGTCTACCTTTGTGTGTGCTATTTGGAACGTGGCAACTCGAACTGCTGCACTTCGGTTGAATCCAGACAGACAGTTAGCTTACAATTCAACTGTATATATGCCTAAATTTTTATGCAGTATTTTTTTAGTTTTTATATTTATAACTTTAAAATCACACTTAAACTTTTCCATGAAGCTGGAGGAAACAACGAAATGGCGTCGAATTCTACTGAAGAATTTTTAAGCAAACTGGAGAAAGAATGTAATAATCTGGCGTCAGAACTAGCTGATTTAGAATACTTGGAAATTAAGCAAAACAAAGCAATCAAAGAGAAGATGTATATGGATGAAGTAAGTTTGTTCATGACTGCGTTTTTTTTCCTTCATGTTCCCCAGGGCTTCAAGCTAGTGGCTTGAATTTTCTGTAGCAGTGTTTATTTTACAGGATGAGGTTACTAGCCTCGTGCCCAACCTTTCCTCTTTACCAGCTAGTATTATTTCTGACTTAGAGGGGTAAAGGAGTGCGTCGACCGGGGATCGAACCTCGGATCATGTACATGGTCGGCGAGCGTCCTAACCGCTATGCCACCGACGCACACATGACTGCGTGCTAATGTTCTTTTGAAACACCAACTAGTCAAGTCACATCACACACACACACACAAGAATTTTTACTTAACCAACTAATTTGATGAATATAGGTTTTAGTGTTGCTTCTTTATAACTCGTATATTCCAAGATATACCCAACTATGTGTATACACTAGTTGTTGATATAAAATATTCTCCAAAATGTATCTGTCAATTGCTGTTGCTTCATGTACTCCGCCTTTGTTTTCATGTAATAGCCGAATATATTTATAATAAGGATACTACCCCTAACTCGGGTCTAAAAATGTCGAAAAATTGAAGATTTCAAAAACGCTTCTAAATGATAGAGGAATGCGTGAGACGTGTTTTGGTATCTGTGACCATGGGGTTTTGAGCTTGTCTAGGCCTAATAGCGCCCTAAAATCCTATAGTAAACACAGCTTAAGCTATATAGACGATATACATCCAAAGCCTCAGGATGGTCAGGGGTGGGTGCCTTGCGCTGCGGGTTGGCCACCCCTCCGTACACCTCTTGAAATGCTCCCATATGACCGGGCGTCTTACATAGCCTCTCCTGAGGAAGTTCTACTCACTGCCTTCACGTGGCGGAGGTGTTTTTCACCGAAGTGAGAGAGCAAAAGCGGATGCCCGGCGCTCTTCACCGGTTTGACTGTCCGTTGGATGACAGTCTAGGGAAGATGGCTAAACCCTGATTCCAAACCTCCAACAACTGGCGTATGAAGTTCACCGGAGCTCACCGGCAGACGTATGGACAAAGGGCTTATTGGATGCCCTGGATGTCTGGCCCCATTCAAAAAGGCGTATGAACCGGACTCCGGTCACCGGCTGCCAATGGATAGTGGACTCCCTACTCCACTCCTACTCCCTTGTAGGTCACACTTGGTTGTGTAAAGGCTAGAGCTGCACTCTCAAACAAAAGGCCGAGCGATGCTGAGGACATCACTCGTACCTAATTCCCATGAAACTTCATGAACTCTCTACAACATCAACCAAATTCCAGTACTGGTCCAAAAACGTCGCCTTCGGTGGTTTGGCCATGTTCTGCGCCGACCAGATGACGATCTGGTCAAATCAGTTCTAAATCCCTCGCCATTTCCATCTTGGCGATGTCGCAGGGGTGGACAGCTGAAAACATGGCTTGGTACAGTCAAGGTTGATATGGAGTGCCTGGGGCTACACACCCTCTACGGACTCCGTCTGTGGAACAAGAATTGGATAACCCTGTCGCAAAACCTTGCATCAGATTGCCGCGCCTGGACAGTGATGATTCGAGATGTTCATGAAGCCGGCTCATCCTCCCGTAGGAGATAGCCGAAGTAAAGTAAAGTAAGTATAGACGATATGAGCGTGGGTTAAATTGTTCTCATGGCTCGCGTTATATGACTGTGTATGGTTTTCTATAGTCTTGGCAGACGTATAGAAGCTATTTTCGCATGGTAAATTGGTTGGCAGGGATAACGATTTCACTGAATTTGGTGGCTGCCGGCTTCGTTTAAAGGTGTCTATTGTCACTATAGCGTCGCTATGCGTGCTACTTTTGCATATAATAATACGTTTGGCTAGTCTTGCATGCGAGATGAGTTCTATTGAGCTTGTGTATGCAGTACATAATTGATTGACGCGATCAATGATCGGCGTAACAGTGCTTATCTATGCATTACTATGTATACAAACGGTCGAATGGTCCACCGAGGGAGAGAGCTCTTAAGTGGTTGCGCCACAGGATGATCCTGCATACCGATCTCGTCTCGTAAGATGCAGGGATGGGTGTGTTTGGTTCTCCTGAAAACCAGTACCCAGTCAATGGGTGCATCACTGTGTGAATAAACTGGTTGATCCTACCAGTAATCATATGCTTGTCTCAGAGATTAAACCACGCATGTCTAAGTACATACCTTAAAACTGTGAGACCACGAATGGCTCATTAAATCAGCTATGGTTCCTTAGATCATATATACTACCTGGATAACTGTAGTAATTCTAGAGCTAATACATAGTACACCATTGAGTAAAACGTATATACTTTACCTTTTGCTATTGTTGTTTCTCCATATTAGATAGATTTATTCAATATAACATATTCATACAGTATTATGAATTGGATAACTTCTCACGCACTAATTTATTTTTATAAGGTAGAAGGTGCTAACATGTTCTTTTAACGTGTTTCGTATATATTTCTACAAATATCTGGTGATTAACCTGAGTAACACATTTTTACCCTATCCACAACGGATTATGTATGTGATTGTAAAGCGTACAGATATGACTCATTGACTCAAACACTCGATTTTGAGTCTATGAGTGACAAGTTCGAGTCTTGCTCGGCCTTCTTCAGTATGGGCAACTAACTCGAGGTGGTAGCATCAACTCTTCTTACACTATAAATGTGTCTATTAGTCTGTTACATTATATCTCAGCTTAAAGTGTATGATTCTAAGGCATTGGTAGATATGGTTGAATTTCTTTTTTTTTAGGTTACATATTTTAACGGGGTCTATATTTCTAAATCTAGCTAAAGTTTTGTAATCCGGTAGGTGCGTATTGCACATGCGTCCCAAACTAGGACAAAACATCTGTCCAGTACTCCCTGCTAGTTTTCAGTGGTTCTCTAACTGATATCAATCTTTGATCAAACTTGAAACAAATCAAATCCCTACAGATAAACTTTTGGAAATTAATCTGATGCTGTCTAGTGACTGGCTGCAGGACTTCTAGTGAGAATTCGTGACCAGTGGAGTCCACCAGGGTTGACAATGAGGACAAATACTTGCCACCGATAACATTGGGTGGTGGTAGTGGTCACGCTAACATTAAGAGTTGGTAGGAGTTAGAATTCACGGACTGGTCATTGAGTTGTCGGGCCCCAGTGGCTGACTGATCTACGAGCTCGCCTTGCAACCGGTAGGTCTTAGGTCCAAAATCCAGTAGGTGCGTGTCGTTGATGAGTCCCAGGCACTACGATGAGTACTATGGAATGTGTTAATTCTTTATTAGATCTATTTCGGACTTTACTTGTATTAACACTTCCCTTAATGAGAGGGAGAGAGAGAGAAAAGTAAAATCTATCAAACATAAATTGAATATCCTTGTATCCCTTGAAAGAGGGGATGTTCTTTGAAATTGATTGTGTTTTGTGCCTATGGTCAATTCGTTATGATCCCGTTGACAGTGAACATGACCTAGTGGACTTATGCATAGGTGAAGTAGTATTGATGCAATGAATAGCTCAACTGATATGCTTAGGACGCCTATTCGTTCATGGCACCTTCTGCTTTATTGAATCTCATTATTAACAAAAGACAAAGACTGGCCTTGGACAGTTAGGATACTATTTGTATTAGGAAAAGCACATCATATTGATATGGTTTGTTTTTACTACATTAAAATTGGCCCCAGAGCAGTGGAAGAAGATTGTTCTGATTGGTTGGCTATTTGATCGAGACCGAGGTGAGAGAGAGAGAGAGAGAGAGATGATAAAATTTCATAGTCATCCGATCACACGATGAAACATAAGATGATTCCTATCAGGTTGGAGATCAGTACAACTGAAAGTGACTTTTAACTGTCAGCGCGGGTGTTTGGGTGGGTGGGTTAATTACACAGTGTGATTAGTTTACACCGCTTTTTGAGCACGCAAACTTCAGTACTGTCGGCTGATAATCATTCTGTATCATTGTCTTTCACACAATCAATTTATCTGGTCAATGATTTGTTTTCACTAATTGATTAATGACGACTTGGTTAAGTTATGCTTTCTCCCTTCCTCGCTACTCGTTCCGTCCAGTGTTTCACTCTTTTCTGAAGTTATCCAGAACTGACTTGTCTATTTGTGAACTAAGCAAGTGTGAATACATGACTGACTTACTGACGTGTTTAGCTGCAGACAAGCTAAGCAACTTTCTGATGTGTAGATTATTTTGGTCTGACTGGTGAATAAATCTTCTGTTTGATAGCACTCATCACCAACTGGTCATGTCAATCAGTTGTATCTGTAGTCTTATGGTGCTTAGTAGGAATATTGATCGGCAGAGTAATTGTAAAATATTCGAATACGATACAAAATACATTCACCGATCTAGTACTGATAAAGTTAACTAACAATAATTAGTCAATATCAACATTTGGGTGGACGGTGGGTGGGTGGGTTGTAATTAACCAAGACAGTAGTTCCGAAGAGCATCTGTTCTTAAAAGTGCAGTTTTTCAGTGGTCACATCGGCTAAATAAGTAACACAGCACCTAAAGAATGCAGTTAAAAGAGCATTCGGTACAGCTGAGGTACACTGTTTCTTCACAACTACTTCAATTTCACGTTCGAGAAATAAGGAAAAACTGTTTAACTTCGCTTCTTCTCTGTGTATCTACCAGTCTGACCACTTTTGTGAAGCTGGTTACACTGGGCATACAAATAAAAACGGGTTCATCATCGTATTTCCAAACATCATCCTGCAGCATGGTTAAGTCAGGGAGAAAAACAAGATCCATTCGTAGCTCCGTTTCAGCACACCTTGTAGACAGTGAGCATAAAGTTGATGTTAATGTAGCATTTTAATGTTATCTATCGTATTCCAACTAATCTTAATTTTGCTGAAGCCATCAGAATCTATCTCAAGAAGCCAAAGCTGTGTGTTTAGAGGAAATTTGTACGGCCACTTTCCTCACCCTGACCATCGTTACATGAATTCCATAAACCAGACTGCTGTACACGCTCCACCTAAACCTTTTAAAAATTATAATTTTCCAGATTACTGTGTTTTCTTTGACTACTTCATCTTCACAATTACAAGTTATCATTGTCTAAATTAATTTACTTTTATTTCAAGTATTGGTTTGTAGGGATTCGATTAGTTGGTTGCAGGATTTCATCATGAGCTGACATCGGTTGGAGAACCATTGGAAGACCTATTACGTAATCAATTTGAACACTCGCTTATTCTTTAATTACTCTGTGGCACAGCGGTAGAACGCTCGCCGACCACGCAGGTGGTTCAGGGTTCAACCCCTGGTCGACCTACTCCTTTACCTTGCTAAACCGTCAGTAAGGTTGGTTAAGAGGGGAGGTTGGTCATGCAGCTAGCAATCCCATCCCGTAAAAATAAATACTACTGCTACGCAAACTTCAAGACTCTAGCTCGAAGCCCTATGTTCCATTGGGAAGACGAAGGAATATTAGAATAAATATTTCCAAAATTATACATTATGCAATCTACTTTCTGTAACCATTTCTAAATTCCGATTGCGTTTATTAAGTTTATTCGTTAATTATCACCCCCTTAACACGTTGATATCGACTTATTATTGTTATTAAACATATCGCCACTTGATGATTGGTAAAATGTTGTGTATTGTATTAGAAATGCGATATATATATTTTTTCCTTCACGTTCCCCAGTGGAACATAGGGCTTCAAGCTAGTGGCTTGAAGTTTCTGTAGCAGTGTTTATTTTACAGGATGAGGTTGCTAGCCTCATGTCCAGTCTTTCCTCTTCACCAGCAAGCATTATTTCTGGCTTAGGGAGGTAAAGGAGTGCGTCGGCCTGGGATCGAACCCCGGACCATGTACATGGTCGGCGAGCGTCCTAACCGCTATGCCACCGACGCACTATTAGAAATGCGATGTGTAAATATATATATATATATATATATGTACATATATATCTATATCGAAATGGGGATCTTTTTTGATAGTGAAATATTCGAATGTTTTCATGGTTTGTGATGATGGCGCTACAGCCTTTAATCTTACATTTTTATCGTTATTATTATCATTAAGTGAATTATTCATTAGGATAGTATCAAAGTTAAATTGTTTTTCGCTAATCTTATTTGTATTGTTTTATAGCTTGAAAAGATTCTTATCAGACAAAACTTTTGGCTAGAAATTTTATCATGCATAATTACCTTGGAGTATGATGCCTGTAAACAAGCCTCAGAATCTTTGGTCAGTCTATTCCAGTCTATTCAAACACTTAACGATCATACTGAACAGGTAGGTATGGAGGATTGTAATGATGTTGGTCTTGTATTTTGTAAATTTTGTTTTCTTTTGAAATACTTTTTGGTTAGTCATCACCCCTCTACTATTGATGTAGACACCTATTTTTTCAAATTGTTGTTGTGTTAGTTTAAAGTAGAGATTAAAACCGTGATATGGGCAAAATAGAGAGGAAGTTGGGACAAAAAAAGATATAGGTGGTTCAGTGGTAGAGAATGCCCACCCGGACCATGGATGTGGTCCGCGGCTAGGTTCTTGGCGGTGCACACTTTTATTCCCCCGTCCCCCCGCCCAGCCAGACGGTTGTGAGCCCAACAAAGAGGGGAAGTTGCTATTGAGGCTGGCAACACCACCGCTATTGAAACTTCGAATCTGAAACTTGAAGCCCTATGTTCCAGTCGGAACGTAAAAGAATAGAATAGAAATCATAAATGATATGGGGTAAGAAACATAATGGGATAATAGTTATTGGAAAGATTGACTGTTTATATTGGCCATGGTAAAGACAGCAGTTTGATGTACTTCTTTTGAATTCATAGTGTCGACTTGAAGCCCTTGGCTCCTTAATACCTGCACTCACTCTTTCGGGTGAACCGCTGGAAGTTGTTGATTAGTTTGTGTATCTGGGTAGTTGTGTAAGTACTGGTGGAGGGGTGACGGATGAGATTTCCAACCGTATAGGGAAGGCTAGGGTGGCGGCATACATCAACTTGAGCCACCTCTGGCGCCGTCGCGACGTTAGCCTGGCTGTCAAAGGTCGGGTATACAATGCTTCGGTACAGGCTGTCTTGCTCTACGCCTGTGAAACCTGGCCTCTCCGAGTAGGCTGAGGATGTATGGTGACTCTGCGTGTTCAGTCATCGCTGTCTCCGCAGGATTGCTTGCGTTCGATGGCATCATCGCGTGAGTAATTCTGAGGTTTGATGGCGTGTGTTTGAACACAGTGGAGATCACCATTCATTGAGTGTCGTCATCTGGAAACACCGGCTCCGGTGGCATGGAAATGTGCTGCGAATGTCGTCCCAGAGGCTTCCGTACAGGTCTCTGTTCGCTAGCCAGCCCTGGGACGGGATGGAAAAGGCGGAGGGGTGGTCAGTCCATGACGTGGCGTCATGGGATGAAGGATGTTTATGCTAGATTACCATCGGTTGGTGCGTCATGACTTCCTGGTTGGGGTCCGCGCGATAGCTCGAATCGATAGCTCGAAACGTTATTGGATATGGCCAAGAAACAATTAATTAATTAATTTGTTTATCCCTAATGCTTCAGCTATGTTCATATGTTTTGATTTCACTCCCTCTGAGAATTGTAATCAGTTCTTGTGTAAGACTTTGAAGGACTTTTCAAATGGAACTGAGTTTCCTGAGTTCACCAGATATTCTGTTAGCGAGCTGTGAACACACCTACTTTCTCACTTCGCTAGCCAGTCTGGTCAGTGTTCTCAAACGTATTTTTACCAGCAGACCCATGGTAGGGCCAGTGTACTCAGCTTGACAAGGGCAAGTGAACTGGTATGTGCATGTTGATGTGGCCCAGTGAGACAACGTATCTTTCATGTGTTGGTCGAATAGTTTCTTGGAAGAAAATGTTATTCATTGGCTGGCAGTGTAGTATGTTTTACTGGGGGATTTGAAAAGTCATTTTTGGAAAATTTCTGCCAGAGGAAACGGCTTTCAAAGTTTTTCAGTATATTTCTTGGAACGATTAGTTTTTGTTCACCAAATGAAATACAAGTCGTGTTTGTTTGTTTTCGAATAGAGCGCTGCAGTTTATTCAGTCTGTTTTTTATAAAGTTTGTAAAGTAATAGCTAGTGAGTAACAGCATACTCATCAATTAATCTCTAATCAGTTGAACTGTCTGTCTGTCTGTTTTCGACGTAGAACTTCGCACCGCTGTGCACCAGTTCAAGTTGCTACACTCCATGTAACACACAAAGGAAGGGAAGAAAGTAGAAGAAATGCATAATAGAGACAGGAAACAGAGGTGTGAGACAAAGGAATAGTAGTAACGAAGATCAAAACAGTTTCATTGGAGATCATAAGTCACAAATAGTGGATCCATCTTCGCCGGCCATTGAGAACGATTTTGAGCCACTCGCGAATAGTTTCCAACCACTGGTTTATACCGTCCCGAGGACCCCAACCAGGAGACCAGCCTACACCTTCCTAAGTGACTGGGTTAAACTAACTGTTGTAGATTTCATTGACCGGTGAGGCCATGTTTTGGTTTGACCATCACTGACTCTTTTCCAACCTGATCCTATATCAGCTGGCATTGCCGTTGTCGAGGAAGGCAATTGCTAGGGTGGCATGCGTAACACATATCCTAACCATCTCAGTCTCTGTAACTTCACAACCTCGTCGATTGATTTTCCCTCCTTACCTAGCACTCGACCGATGCCTAACCTCAATATTGCTCACCTCATTATGCCACTCACACGGGAAATAGAACGCTGGCACCTATGATCAAAGACAGCTAGCCTGACTTTTCATGTCTTCCATTTTCAACGGCCAGGTCTTACTCACAGTCATAAAGGAAGACAGATTGAATCGCTGTGCAGCACACACACTCTTTGGTCGATAGCCGGATATCACATCTACGCCAGAGATGGCGTAATTTGACATATGCCAAACAAAAACTTCTGTATCCTGGTTGAGATTTCGTCAGAGATCAACCCGTTGGCGTTGGCTGATGGTACTTCCCAAATAAGTGAAGCAGTCAATGTTCACTACCGCTTCACTCCCTTTTTCTAAACTAGGAATCAGTGTAGTCCAGTCCTGTAACCCCATCATCTTACATTTGGCGGGAGCGAATCGCATGCCAAACATTCGTAGATTGCAGCTCAAGGTGTTCAGAAGACTCTGCTCTACTATGTCAGCGTCTTCGCCTAGAAGGACTATATCGTCCGCATATTCTAAGTCAACGAGATTATTCCTTGGTGACAAGTCAATTCCCGAGTCGCTGAAGTGAGTTGGGGTTAGGTTCATTAGTGCATCTATGATGAAATTGAATAGAAATGGGGATAATGGGCATCCTTGACGGACACCACTAGTCGTGACCACTGCGGATGACAACTTGCTGTAAGCCCTCACCTGGCTGCATGAGTACGAATAGAGTGTTTTGATCAGTACAATGTATTTTCTCTGCATTCCCTTTACAGCCAAGCATCGCCAGAGAACCTCTCGGTCGACAGAATCGAATGATGGCCGCCTTTAGGTCAAGAAATATAACGAAATATAAAATATAATCGGTTGGAAAATTCTCTAAAGAGCTTTACACACTACTCACCCCATCAATGTGTAAAATGCTATATCATATCTGTAACCATTTACCTTCCTAATACGTTTTCTGGATGAGCCAAGAATCTTTCAACAGAATTTGAATGAATTCCACTCATAGGATCCAGTAATTCAGAATAATGGTTGACTTTATGATGAATATAGCCTAATGGTAATAATTGTGAATAACCTTTCCACTGGTCTGTGTGAGTGTTAGTTCCTATTGTTATATATTATCGGCATTTCTGTTTGAGATGCGTTCCATTAACCTTATTCGAAGATTTGTATCGTACAGTACCAGCGGCCAAACATAGTTTGCTCTTCTCCTAGTGTGATTCAGTGCTGTTTAGTCAATATGAACAACGACACCAATTCCTGCAATTACAGAAGTAATTCCGTTGATCTTTCGTGAGGCAGTATCTCAACAGTGCTGATACCATTGCACTGTTAACATTTCAGTATTCTCGATTTTTGCAGCTGTAACAAATACTGGTCACCTCAGTAGCCAACTTTGGCATTTACGTAGTATTTTAATAAGCGAGAATGACTGACTGACTGGTGGTTTCAACATAGAACTTTGCATCGATATGCAGCAGTTCGAGTCGCCAAACTTCACTTAGCACATAAAGCAAGACAAGAAAGTAAAGCGATTCAAAAGCAGAGATAATAAACAGAGATATGAGGCAAAAAGAATTGTAATATTGAAGAAGAATACAGATTTTATTGGATAAGTTACAAGGAGTGGGTGCATCTGCGCCATTGAGAACGAGGATTTTGACCCATATCACAAATTGTTTCCAGCCGCCATCGGTTTTTACCGTCTCGAGGACCCCAACCAAGAAGCCACTCTACACCTTCCTACGTGGCTGGCCGGCTTAAACTAACTTTTTGGAGAGTTTCGATTTCGAGAAGAAAGTATCGTAGAAATCACCACAATGTACAGTGTACAACCAACGCTTACAGACTTCTTCATATAACAGTGATTGCATCTGAATGCATAACTGTCAGTGACGCAGTAGTACTTCTGAAGAGTTATTATCCTCCAGATATGCCTGTTTTAGTCCACCTTATCGACCCATTTTCCACACAGAAGTCAAAATCTAGGTGAAACTTCTAACGAAGATTATGTGAATGGCCGTCTATTTGTAATACTGAGCGATCTGATTGGCTGGTTCAGGGTCATTCAACTTTTGGTGACTATTCTTTAGTGTTGCCCACACTTGTTATGTAACGGGGCTAATGATGCAAACCTGGTATGTCTATGAGTATTCTAACTTACGGAATATATACATTGGGTCATAGGAGTTACTAAAAAGACAATTACAGCGAAGAAAATTTTCTTTTCGACGAAGTCATCATCTAGGCTGTACATTCGTGTATATCTATATCAAATGGATGGGAAAGTTCCAGAATAACTTCCGGTCAAGGGTCAAATCAGTTAAAATTATAACTAGGAATTAGAATGCCATAATAAACAGGGGGACGGATAAAACTCAAACAGAGTAGCATCATAATTACTAAGAAGATTGACATATTGTGCAATTAGGGATGAGATGTAGAGATGTAGAAATAACAAAATAGACAGGATGTTTGGATAAAAAAAACTATTGTGATGAATAATTGTTTATGCAATCAGGGATTAAATATGTAGAAATAGTAAAATGACAAAATAGACAGGAAGTTCGGATATGAAAATGCGGTAGTGTAAACAGGGATTAAGAAAAACTTAAAAATAACATGAATAAACAGGAAGTTTAGAAAAGAAAGGCGATGGGATGGTCATTAATAAAACAAATTACCTGTTTATGATGGCCATGGCAGGGACAGGGGTTGGACGTATTTCTTTTGGATACAAAGCGTGGGTTTGAGCTTTTGGATAGCTAGTGCCTCGGCTATGCCCAGATGTCTTAATTTCACTCCCTTTGATAGGCTTGATTGAATCTTGTATATTATTTTGAAGGATTTTTCGAAAGGTGCTGAGTGTCCTGATTTGACCAGATGTTCTGTCACTGAACTATATACATGCTTTTGGTCTCCTTTTACTAGCCAGGCTGGATAGTGTTCACGAGCGCGTTTTTCAAGTTGGCGCATGGTATGACCGATGTACTCAGCTCCGTAGGAGCAATTAAACTGGTACATGCACGTTGAAGCGACCCAATGTGACGGCTTGTCTTTCGCGTTCTGGCTGAACATTTTCTTACAGGTAAACGTCAGTCGTAAGCTTGTGGCGAAGTATGTTTTCCTCAGCGATTTGGAGGGGCGTTTATGAAGGATTTCTGCTTCAATATCACCTTTGAATTATAGATTAAGCAGAAGTACTTCCTTTGGAACGGATTTGACTTGTTTGGAAGTCTTCTTTGATTTGAGATTCTTGTCTATGAATCTGGGCGGGAAACCGTTTTCCGTCAGGGTTTCTTGAAGATTACGCAGTTCTTCTTCAATCACTTCCTCGCTGCATATCTTCCTAATCCTCGAGGACAGAGCGTATATCAGGTTCCTCTTTCTGCTTAAGGGCACGAAACTTTGAAAGTTGATGATTTTTCCATTCCATTCTATTCGACCTTAACCATGATTGTTTTAAAATAAAAGCCATCAATGAATCTTCTGTCTTTAAAAATTTAGCTTGAAAGTTTATTGGACATGTCTTCATCGAAAGATGGTTCTATGGATCCTGAGAATGACTCCAAGTTGTTTGCAGATGCAGTCGTTCAACTATTACAATGTAAGTCATATATATTATTAGTGATTTTTTATTCATGCGATCGTTTTACTTATTGTGTTTGAAATGAAATGACCGTATTTTTGAATCTGCTGTTTATATAAAATTATATGGCTATGATAGTAGCTGATAAATAATTTCTCGTGCACAAAGAGATAGATGAAAACGAAAATAGTGAGTCACACCTTACCCGAATTGTTAAGGAAGTAACTGTTCTACTGAATTATGTATATAAGTAGTATGCCTACAAATTGTAGTAAAAGGGGGAAGTGCCACGGTTGCATTCTAGGCAAGTGACTTGTGTGATGAACAGCAATGTTTTGAAACATTTATCTAGTGTTCTTCCCGCTATCCAATTAGTTTTTTTAGTATTTAGTGCCGTTGAACCTTTTATACTCTTTTGAAAGCTTCCAATTCCTCTGCGTCTCGGGTGGAACATAGGGCTTCATCAAACTTGTGCTTTGGAGTTTCAGTAATAGTGGTGTTTATTTTTTGCGGAGTAGGGTTGCTAGCCTCACGCCCCCCCGTTATTCCTCCTTTTTTCGATCCAACACTGGGTTTTATTACTAATTATACCTGTCGTTAAAAAATAATTAATCTACGAATAACTTTGAAATGAGTTTCAGCTTTCTTAGGTGGTTAACCTCAAAGTGTACAAAGAAGAAGACATTGATAGCTGGAAGAATGTTGATGGAAATAGTTCGCTACTTGCTACAGATAACCGGGAAGTCTCCTTACTTTCACTTCAGAGGTGTGGAGGATAGTTAGGCATACAATATATTCATCTTTAAGTTATGAAGTTACTTGTGATACGACACTGTGAACAGTAAACTGTGCTTGAATTGCTGCTATCCACTAACCGATGCTGTTCCATTCAGTGGTTTCTAAAAACAAAGCGAACACAGCTTTTTAACCAGTGGGCAAATTTTTTCATTCTTATTTTTATTCTGTCAATTTTTTGATTACAGCTTGATTCCACACTGTATTTTTTGTACAAGTATGGAATTTTTAGCATGTGATATCGGTAGCCGGATTTCGCAGGCCGACCCTTGATATCAGGTGTGCGTCGGCAGGGGATTGAACCCCGGATCATGTTCATGGTCAGCAAGAGTTCTAACCGCTGTGCCACCGACGCCAATTTTTACCTGGGAAGTTGTATCAGCCGCAGTGAAGTGATTCATGACGAATCCTGCCAACAGATACAAAAAGACTCATGTGGAATTTGCCAACCAACGTCATCTGTGGCACAAACGTAATATCTAGCTATGGATATAAGGATGAATGTATTATGCACCAGGTTTCTCTGTCCTGCTTTATGGCTATGAGGCGTGGTCACTGGAAGTGAGATATGTGAAAAGACTGTCTTTATATGACAACAGATGTTTGCGTTCTGTCTCCTATGTTAAGTGGTTTGGTGCGATGATGTTCAGCATAGAGTGTTAGGTAAGGAGAGTAAGTCAGTTGATGAAGTTGTGAAGGTGAGGTTGAATTGAAATGACTAGGACAGGTTGAATCCAGACAGGACAGGTGTTTCTCATTGCAGGCTATTGTTTTTCTTGACATGTAATGTTAGCCGACATTGGATTAGATATTGGATCACTAAGACTTGTGATCAGTCTAAGAAGTCTGGCTGGGTTACTGGGGATGCTGTCTGTCTGTTTGTTTTCGACATAGAACTTTGCACAAATGTGCACCAGTTCAAGTCGCTAAGAATAAATGACTAGAAATTTTCAAGTATTAGTTTGTTGGGATTTGGTTGATTGGTTACAGGATTTCATCATGAGCTGACATTGGTTAGAGAACCATTGGGAAGCCTGGGAGTACTGGACAGCTGTTTCGTCCTAGTTTGGGACTCTTCATCAGTACGCATCCAGTAGAGTTAGAACTGGTGGGTGCGTACTGATGAAGAGTCCCAAACTAGGACGAAACAGCTGTCCAGTACTCCCAGGCTTCCCAATGGTTCTCTAACCAATGTCAGCTCATGATGAAATCCTGTGACTGGAGATTGTTGGTGATATTGCTCAAAATTGCTCTCATGGGTACAGATGCATTCACTCTCTATAATCTCCCACATCCAATAAACCATCGTGTGTTTTCCTACCTAACTATTCTTCTTCTCCCACATTTTTGCTTGAAATAATAGAGATTTGTAAAGAATATCTCTGAAATTATCGTAGAATACCAAGACACTATTTCAAATAAACGTGGTACATAAGCCAGCACACTTACCAAAAGACTCAATAGCGAAAGAAGATAAGATCGATACCATTTACAAAATAAATTCCATGAACTGCGATAAACACTACATCGGTCAAAGTGGGCATCCTCTTCCATTCAGAATCCAAAGTCATAAATTAGCTGTAAAAAGGCATGATACATATTTTTTCATATCGATGCATACAGACACTGATTTGATTGCGTGGAGGGAACATCGAATAAATGCCAGGGAATTTCTAGAAGCTTCGTCGTCAAATAAATATGCGATTAACCAACACATCACCATAGATCAAATTCACCAATTAATAAGGAATAAAGTACAAGACAAGAAAGTCCAAACTACAAGTCAATAAAAATGTAAATTAACAATCAATCACAATAAAGGAAGTTGTCAGGACACACAGTGATCTTATTCACATAAAGAATTCAAACAAGTTTTTTTCATAATAAAGCCTGCTCTGAAGATGTCTCGTTGTCTCGAAGGACAACGGAAGCTTCGCAGTTAAATCAACCAGCTCAGAAAACACAACTAAGTCACATTTCTTTGATTGGACACTAGTCAGTAACTAGTGTGATGTGTCTAGACCTTAGTTTGATGCAGACTGAATTCTGTCAGTCAGATTTGTAATATGGCTATCATTCTAGGTAGCTCGCCATGACGGTGCAATCGGTAAAAAGCTTTGCTTGACCTAGGTTTTGTGTTAATATCAACAATTCAAAGTGTACCATGATGGCGAGCTGCCTAGAATAGTGGCCATATTACAAACCTGACTGATAGAATTCAATCTGAAGCAAACTAAGGACTAGACATATCACACTAGTTACTAGTATCCGATAATCAAAGTATCCAATACAGTAGTCCTACAGGAAGGAGGTCAATCGAGAGGCCGAATAGCTGGCTCAATGGTAACGTCTCTGACTTTCAGCAATAGTTGTTGCGGGTTTGAACCTCAGAAGGGACATATGTACCTTCGACGTTGCATATACGCTTTTCTGACTGGTGAGTGCCAGCTGGTACGAAACCTAGGTCAAGCAAGGCTTCCATCCTATTACCTCCATCCATGGAAATCACATTGCTGCTTATTATCGTCCTTTCGAATCTCTCTTTCTCTCTCTCTTTCGTCTTCCTTTATGTGATGCTGCTGCTGCATATAGAGGGTGGAAAGTTGACCTATTGCACTCCTCTGTGTAAAGTTCCACTGTGAATCTTAGTTAGTCAGCCAACTCATACACTTTTTTTTAAATTTGTAAATTCATTGAACTCAACAACCGTAAAATAGTCAGCATATTGTGTTATAAAAAATAAAATATAAAACAATTAGTTGAAGAAGCAATAAGAAGACGTAGATTGTCCGAATCGTTTAATGCTGTATTTGCGCAACACATTTCGAACAATCTGATCACACAGCCACGGACTTGTCATAAGAATACATATACATCAAATTAATAAAGACCGCTTCACTTATTTGGGAAGTACCATCAGCCCCAACGGGCTGATCTCTGACGAAATCTCAGCACGAATACAAGGGGCTCGTTTCGCATTTGTTAGTTTACGCCGACTCTGGCGTAGACGAGATGTTCGACTATCGACCAAAGGGTGGGTGTACTGCTCATCAGTCCGCTCCGTCCTCCTTTATGGTTGTGAGCGAGACCTGGCCACTGAGAGTGGAAGACATGAAAAGACTAGCTGTCTTTGATCATAGGTGCCTGCGTTCTATTTCCCGTGTAAAGTGGCATAATAAGGTGAGCAACATTGAGGTTAGGCGTAGAGTTCTAGGTAAACAGGGGAAATCAATCGACGAAGCCGTGAAGCTACAAAGACTGAGATGGTTAGGACATGTGTTACGTATGCCAAGCCATCGCCTCCCTCAACGAGCTATGTTAGCGGATATAGGGGCAGGCTGGAAAAAAGCTAGCGGCGGTCAAACGAAAACTTATCACCAGTCAATGAAATCCACAACAGTTAGTCTAAGCCACGTAGGAAGGTGTAGACTAGCTTCCTGGTTGGGGTCCTCGGGACGGTAAAAATCTATGGTTGGAAACAATTGGTGACATGGCTCAAAATCGTTCTCAATTGTCGGCGCAGATGCATCCACTCCCTGTGACTTATGACCTTCAATGAAACTGTTTTGTATTTCTTTATTACTCCTTTGTTTCATACCTCTGCTCACTGTTTCTATTATGCTTTTCTTGTACTTTCTTCTCTTGCTTCGCGTGCTACACGGAATGTGGTGACTTGAACTTCCGCACATCTGTGCAAAGTTCTATGTCGAAAACAGACAGACAGAATAAAGAATTAAGAGGTGAGAAAATAGACTTAAGTCAAGTTAAAAGGACTTATTGAAGGTCAAAATAGCAATGAAGGTCACTAAACCAAATAGCATAGGTAATACTACATCTGCTACGGTATCAAAACAAAATTTACCAAGGAAGGTTTAATGTAATGACGAATTGTTTTTGAACGCATAAAGGTGGTTGAAACTTTCTAATTGCCAGCTAGGTCTTCTACAAACTTTAGGATACGCCCCAAGCACGCTTTATAGATAGGTTTAAAAGATGTGTTAACGCCAATTTTATATCCTGTCTCTATAATATGTTTCGCAATAGAGAAGTTAGGTCTCCTGTTCTCACCGTTAATGGGTTCTGAAGATTTCATTTGTTTTTGGAGCCATTTAGGAATATACTCTGAAGCCAACCCTTATTTGCAGAGATCGGTGAGTCCTTCCTATGTATGTATGTATGTCCACACATACATTCAAATTGGTAAATACAGTGGGATGTGACGT